GCCCGAGGGGGCAGCCGGACACGGGAGGACAGTGGAGAAGTGAGAGAGGACAGGACCCCCAGAGGGGTCAGCCAGGGAGACTGCAACCGGCCGGCCAAGCGGCGTGAGTGTGGTGCGGTCTCGAAAGAAGGAGCGAGAAGCCCCTGAGTCAAGTGTGAAGGTGAGGGAGGCCGAAGCCGACGCAGTACCTGAGAGCGCAGCCTCACCAGTACCTGAGAGTGCAGACGCACTGGCACCTAGAGCAGCAGCCGCAGAAGTACCTGGCGCAGCAGTACCAATGCCCGGGTCGGGCGGGAGACACTGGTAACAGTCACCCTCCTCACTAATAGTCACAGCATACATGGCAGCAAGGATAGCATCAAAGTCAAGATCAAAGACAGCTACGCCAGCCCTAGACAGCTCTCCCCAACGGGGAATCTCACTGGCCTCGGGGAACTGCTGACGCCAAGCGTCCGTCAGGCGGGCAAAGCAGCGCTGGGTGGTGTGGGCACCCCCACACTGCTCACCCGCGCGGTCGCCGGAACGAAGGACGTAGGTGCACGGACCAAAACCCCCACCCCGCTGACGCTGCGTGTACCACTCACGGAGCTGCTGGGGCGGGGGGATGTCCCGCGAACGCTGCTGCTGCTGCTGCTGCTGCTGACGCTGGCCACCACCAGGGCCGCTACGCTGCGGGGCACCACCCCGACCAGCTCCACCCCCTCCGCCACCGCTGCCTCCACCTCCACCACCACCGCTGCCTCCGCTCCCACCGCTGCCGCCACCGCCGCCTCCTCCTCCGCTGCTGCCACCTCCACCACCGCCCCCGCCACCACTCCCACCGCCACCCCCACTCCCTCCTCCGCCTCCACCGCCTCCTCCACCGCCCCCGCCAGCTCCACCCGCGCCCTTGCCCCCCTTGCCCCTGCCAGGGCGGCGTCTCCCGCTAGGGGCAGACGCCGCGCAGACCGACTCAAGACCAAGCAGGTCGGCAGCAGCAGCAGAGGCAACAGAGGGCAGCAGGGGGGAAGGAGAACACCCCTCAAAGATGGGGGTGCGAGGGTCACCACGAGAGGCTCCTACAGCGACGATGCTCTTCTCCGCCGCCAGGAGGGACTTCTCGAGGAGGTCGACAGTGAGAGTGGTGGGACAGACCGAGAGGTAGTGGTCCCTGACTACGCGAAGGGAGTCAGGGAGGCGTGTGACGATGTAATAGAGAGTGATGTACATGGGGGGGGGGTTCTTGGCGCAGAACTCAGCAGGAAGGGCGGCGCGGTAGCGAGTGTCACTAGTGCGGAGGTGCGTAATGAGGTCAGCGACAGTGGGAAAGGCAGCAAGGTCAGGAAAGAGGTACGGTAGCATGAGGCGGCTCAGGGCAGCAGTGGCAGGGGAAGAGTAGCGCGCAACTACAGCGTCGTACAAGGTCTGAGCACTCTTGTACTGACTAAAGTGCGCGCGCTCAGTGGTAGGCAGGTGGCGACGTACAGCAAGACGTGCAGCAGCATCGCGGGTGGCCCACTGAGAGCGAACAGTGGGGTCAGCATCAGTAGCAGGGGCAGGAGAGGCGCCAGAGGTGAGGTCAAAGAGGGAAAGACCGTCCGCCCTATCGCACTGTAAGAACAGCTGCAGGTCGTCGACCCAGACCTCAAAGTCAATGGCTCGACCCTCAGCGTCAAAAGCGAGGACACTAGGGGTAGCCATGACGACGACAGACGAGCAGTGCAAGCAGTAGGGGAAGGGCACGCAGTGACAGTGGGGCTGTGCTCACCGGACAGGGCAGGTCGGGCGGCCCGGCAGTAGGGCGGCTCGGCTGCTCAGCGGCTCGGCGGCAGTGCGGCTCGGCGCCCGGGCGGCTCGGCGGCAGGGCGGCTCGGCTCCCGGGCGGCTCGGCGGCAGGGCGGCTCGGCTCCCGGGCGGCTCGGCGGCAGGGCGGCTCGGCTCCCGGGCGGCTCGGCGGCAGGGCGGCTCGGCTCCCGGGCGGCTCGGCGGCAGGGCGGCTCGGCTCCCGGCGGTTCTGCTGCTAGGCGGCTCCCGCAGGTAGGGCGGCGGTTGGGCCGCAGGTAGGGCGGCGGTCGGGCCGTAGGTAGGGCAGCGGGCTGGCCGCAGGCAGGGCGGCGGTAGGGCCGCAAGTAGGGCGGCGGGCGGGCCGCAGTTAGGGCGGCGGGCGAGCCGCAGGGAGGGCGGCGAGTAGGCCGCAGGTAGGGCGGCGTGGGGCCGGGACGGGCGGCGCGCGGGCGTCGAGGGGCCGGGACGGGCGGCGCGCGGGCGTCGAGGGGCCGGGACGGGCGGCGCGCGGGTGTCTAGGGGTCGGGCCGGGTGGCGCGCGGGCGTCTAGGGGCCGGGACGGGCGGCGCGTGGGCGTCGAGGGGCCGGGACGGGCGGCGCGCGGGCGTCTAGGGGCCGGGACGGGCGGCGCGCGGGCGTCTAGGGGCCAGGACGGGCGGCTCACGGGCGGCGAGGGGCCGGGACGGGCGGCGCGCGGGCGTCGAGGGGCCGGGACGGGCGGCGCGCGGGCGTCGAGGGGCCGGGACGGGCGGCGCGCGGGCGTCTAGGGGCCGGGACGGGCGGCGCGCGGGCGTCTAGGGGCCGGGACGGGCGGCGCGCGGGCGTCTAGGGGCCGGGCCGGGTGGCGCACTGGCGTCTAGGGGCCGGGACGGGCGGCGCGCGGGCGTCTAAGGGGCCGGGACGGGCGGCGCGCGGGCGTCTAAGGGCCGTGACGGGCGGCTAAAGGGGCCACTAGGGGCCAAGAGAGAGGGGAGCGCGACTCGGGTAGGGGCAGAGTGCGCTCCGGGCAGGAAAAAAAAACGGTGGGCCCTAGGAACAGTTCCCACGAGGGAACCTGCTCGATACCATGAGAAAAGTAGAACGAGAATGAATGAACTATGAATGAAGTGAGTACATATGGGAAACCCTAATTGGGTTGTACCCCCTATGGGATACCCCACTATAGCCTACACAACAGCATAAGCTATATATATGTTCTGACAATCTGGTGCGTTCCCGGTTCTTTCATCCTCCCTCCTCCCTCTGAAAAAAACTTTCTTCTTCTTCTTCTTCTTTTGTTTGTTTGTTTTTTGCTCTCCTCGTGAAAGAGCGCGTGAGAGAGCGCGTGACAGTGCGTGTTAGAGCCCGTGAGAGCGAGCGCGCCTGAGAGAGCGTGCGAGGGAGCGCGTGAGTGAGAGTGCGCGTGAGAGTGCGAATGAGAGATTGCGTGAGAGAGCGCGTGAGGGAGCGCGTGAGAGAGCGCGTGAGGGAGCGCGTGAGAGTGTGTGAGAGAGTGCGCGAGAGAGTGCGCGAGAGAGTGCACGAGTGAGCGCGTGAGAGTGCGCAAGAGAGAGCGCGCAAGAGTGTGTACAAAAGAGCGCGTGGGAGAGTGCGCGCGATAGAGCGCGCGAGTTTGCGCATGAGGGAGCGCGTGAGAGAACGTGGGAGTTTGCGCGTGAATTTCTGTTGCGCTTACTTTGTTTTTTAGTGCATCAAGGAAGCTGAATTCTCTGATTTTGTTTTATTGTGCTATTAATGCAAGTTGTATTCTCTGATTTTGTTCTTGTTTGTGCAGGGAGTGAGTTGCATTCCCTGATTTTTCTTTCCTGTGCAGGGAGTTCAAGCTGCAGCCTTTGTTTCTTGCGGAGAAAAGGGATGGGGAGAAGGGAGATGAGGGAAATGAGGGAGGGAGGGAGGGAGGGAGGGGAACGGGGGACAGGATAGTGATAATTTATACAAGGCTGAAATTCATTCATTATGCTTGCATGCTTATTACAGTAGCTGTATGTTTTTGCGTTGTGTGTCTCTGTATATGTGTGAGCCTGTATGTGTGTGAGTGCGTACATGTGCATATGTGTGTTGTGCGTGCTTCAGGGTGTGGTGCTAAGTGCCTCCTGAATGCAACTCGGATTGTGATCGTCGGTGGGGCAGCTTTGCTAGCCTCGTCCGTACCATATCAATCTCAGTTGCAGCAGTGATGCATTTAGCATTCGCTTTGAAACTTTCTTAAACGTTGTCTTGTGTTTTAGTAATCATTTATGTGTTATCGCCTGTGCTTGTTTTGGGGGTGTGGTGCTGTCTCGTGTATGCAACTAGGATTGTGATCGTCGGTGGGGCAGCTTTGCTCGCCTCTTCCGTACCATATCAGTCTCAGTTGTTGCATAGATGCATTTAGTATTCCCTTCAAAACATGTAAGACGGTTCTTGTACACCATCGTTTTTGTGGTCATTTGTGTATGTCTGTCTCTCGGTGGTACTGTTGTATTTTTTGTGTTGTCCTTTGTGTTCGTGTGTCATTGGGTACCGTATCATCTTTAGTGCTAAAACGATTCTCCAATTGTTCCATTCGCCGTACTTATCGACGATTATGGAATGATTGGAAACATTTGTTTTCATTTTTTTGGGGAAGCTATGTGAACAGTGATTTCTTTCAAAATTTATAAAAGAAATTCACTGTTCACATCAGCCAACCGAAAAGTGAAAACGAATGTATAAGGTTGCTACGCAACCCAAAAATCACACACGCCCTTATAGGATGTTGAGTAACCTTTTCTTACTTCGCATCACCCTACAGAAGACCTGCCGGCGACGAATTTTCTTCCCAGTTTCTTGCAGAGCCCTCACCGAGCCAAGAATGTTCAACTGTGCCTGCAGAACAGGCCAAGGAAGCGAACCACAAATATCTACTTGTACAAGTGTCGGATGTCCATTCGCCATCACGCCACCAAAATCAGGTGGCAGTCGATTGGTTGCTCAATCGTGGGAGTGAACTCACATTCAGGGCGGGAACAGCGCGTTTGACCTTCATTCGTTCTGTGCGGTCACTCTTGTTGCGTCACGGTGGAAAACGTGAAGCTTTGTAACCGCAGTGCACCGTCTGGAATCGTCTTGCGCCACGACGGATGAACTGGAAAGGAAAAGCTCTGGACCAGCCGCCACACACATTCCTTTCCAACAGCATTAGCATTTTGGCTCTCCATTTTTTTCGGATTATTTTGTAATTCCGTCTCATCAGTATCCTCGTTGCCTTTCAAGCCATGGCACCCCTCACCTTAGAGCTGTCAGAGGGGCATGGCGCCGTGCTGTTGGTGGCAGCGGCAACAGCAATCGTTCATATCGGGATGGCCGAAGTCGTGATGTTCGCGAGAAAGAAGTAAACATGCTGGAGATAAATTATGTATCAACTGTTAGCAAATCTTCCGCAACTAGTTAACAACAATTATTTTGCGCGTGAATTTTGCGCGTGTGTTGCAGATACAACGTCCAATTCCCGCTTCTGTACGCGCCTGAGTCTCACAAGAATAACAAGGAGTTCAACTGCGTGCAGGTACGACATGTGCATGCGCTCGACCATTTCCACCATCTCCAAAATTTAATGAGAAACAGATACCGTTCAGGAAAAGAAGGATGTGCTGATATTTAATCGTTATTATTCTTTCCATGACTTGCATCGCAGAGGGCGCATCAGAACTTTCTTGAGAATATTTCGTTTTTCCTTGCGTTCCTCCTCGCCAGCGGCGTTGCGGTAAGCTTTTCTCGCCTGCCAGTGGCTCTGCTCCCACCACGCCACATGCTGGTCGCTTTTCCTGGTTTTCCTGCTTCACACATTGTGTGTTCACAGCCTGCTTGTGTCATTTAACGCCGCCTCCCTTTTGCACCCATCGCAGTACCCCTGGACATCCACTGTTCTCGGGGTTATCTTCCTGCTTGGCCGCATTGTCTATTTCCTTGGTTACTCCACGGGGAGGCCTGAGGCACGAAACTATGGAGCGTAAGAATCCCCATACGCCCAGACCACCTTCCACCCCCTTCCCCCCTCACTCTCTTCCCTTGCTCACTTCCCCCTCTTTCCTCCCTCCCCTTTTCCCCCACCGTCCGCCCATCCCTTTTTTCCACCTCGCCCTCATATTATTGCTCTTGATCAGCGAATTCCACATCCCGCCTGCCATTCAAGTGATGTGCTTTCTCTACTTGCAGATTTTGGACGATTGGACTTCTGGGCCTTATGATTAGCACCATTGTCTTTGGTCTTCGGGTCCTTGGTGTCATTTAAAGCCAGGGTCTCATGTAAGCAAAACTGCCATCAACTGCAAAACAGTTGAAGCGAGGTTACCTAGTTAGTGCAGGCGAAGTTATCTCTGGTTTGGTTGGAACCTCAACGCAGACTTTGCCTCAGGAGCAATTGCAAAACAAGTTTTGCGTACATGTGACTTTCGATGATTTGCCTCAGGTTTGGCTCCGAACCAGATTTGCGAGCCTAGAAGGTTCGGGTACGCCCAGCGATACGATCGCTCACTTCGCACCCCTCGCTTCACCCCACTTCAAACTTTTCACCTCGCCAACCAATCTATTGTCAACTGCAAAACACTTGTTCTACGAGTGATCCTGGTTTTAAGCATGATGATTTCGTGGTGTCTATTTATGACTAGATTGATACCCCATACGTGTTGGGCTAGAACCATATTGTTGCCAGAGCATATTGTAGAGAACGCTCCTCCTGGGCAAGAGAGCTGAGATGGGAAAGAAGCAAGGGCAGAATTTAGCGTTGCACTTTTGGTATTTTTGTGTTTGAAAATCGGAGGTTGTTTGGTGTTACAACTGACATTTTCTTTGAAGTGTAGTGATCTTCGGTATCGAATCCGATTCATTCGAGTAATCTTCAAAAATTCGAATTGTGCGCGATGCGGCTGGTGTGAACAAATCTTCCACCTCATGCTCATTCACTTCCACGTTCATCACAGCCTCTTCTATTCCAAGTCATCTGATTGAACAATACTTGCATATTTTCTCAAAACTAGATAAACTCGAGTTCCGTGACTCTTGTCGCGAGGCGGCCTGTTTCATGGAGTGAAGTTTGCAGAGTAGGAGCCTTTTTTTCCAATCGACGAGGCGAACAGCACGCGCGAGGTTACGGTCCTTGAGAGGGTGTCGTTTAGGAGTGTACGAGCCGCACGATGCCCGGCGCGACGCTGACGGACACTCGTCCATTGATGGACGGCTTGCTCCACGGCGTCGCCAGCGGCGGTTCTGGCGACCGCCCCGTGGCGATTGCGACCTTCGAAGTTTCGCAAAAGTCTCTCGCCGGTGCAGACGACCGCCGCGATACGGCAAGTGCGATCACCAGCGACGGCGCTTCACCAGAGAAGGAGGCGCGCAGTGAGTCGACGGCAGCAGCAGCGGGAAGACCCGCCGATGGCGTTGCAGGCGGTCTGGAACCTGATAATGCTGCAGAAGCGGCAGGATCAGCGGAAGGAGCAGGAGTAGCACCAGCAGAAGCAGCACCAGTGGCAGCAGCAGTAGCACCAGCAGAAGCACCAGCAGAAGCATCAGCAGCAGCACCAGTGGCAGCAGCAGAAGCACCAGCAGAAGCACCAGCAGAAGCATCAGCAGCAGCACCAGTGGCAGCAGCAGCGATGGACGTTGGCTTGGCGGCGGGTGAGTCGGCCGAGCGGCGCGACGGCGGTTCAGGCGCGGGGATTGGCGGTTGGTGGGGCAGGCGAGCCGCGGAGAGCGGCGAATCGGCGGGGAAGGATTCCGGCGACGATTCCGACGATTCGTCAGCGAGCGATTGGAACGGCTGGTGGGGGGGAGAAGGCGGCGACGGATGGCGAGCACGTGGCGAAAGACGGCGAAAAGGCGGAGACGGGTGGTGAAGAGGCGGCGACAGATGGCGAAAAGGAAGGGAACGGTGGCGAAAAGAAGGCGGCAGATGGCGAAAAGGTGGGGAAAGGCGGCGAAGGGGCGGCGACGGGAGGAGGTGCGGCGAGGCGACAGAGGAAGACGGCGGAGGCTGCTGCAGCCGCCATGAAGCGGAAGGTACGGCGACGGGGAATGGTTGAGACGGTGAGGCGAATAAAACTCTCTGGTTCGATTCAACGGCGACAGCGAAGCTGTCGCGTCGCAACTGACGTCGCCCTCCCGCACTCCCGTTGTCCCCGCACATTTCTCTGTCGCCTCGGCTTATCCTTCGCGTGTCTCTGTCGCAGGAGGATCGCGAGCGTCGCAGAGAATCAGCTGATCTCCTGGCGACGTCGCAACGACTTCTTCGCGGTTAGTGCAGAGAAGACACGCCCATCACGCCGCCGTGACGCACGCACATGCACATCCACATGCACATGCACATGCACATGCACAAGCACATGCACATGCACATGCACATGCACGCAGAACAAACAAACAAAGCAGATTGACGCCCCGCCCTGCTCTGCCCTGCTCTGCCCTGCTCTGCCCCGCCATGCCCTGCCCTACCCCGCCCTGCCCCGCCTGCCCTGCCCCCCCCTCCCCTGGCCCGCCTGGCACCATGCATCAGAGAGCAGTGTGAAGTTCGCGCGGCCGCGGCTGGCCACCATCTCGCTGGGCGGCTTCTTCACCTCCATGCGCGCGCGCATGGCGCTGCTGGATGCACGCATGCCGCGGTGAGTCATGGTGGATGGGGGATGGGTGGGGAAGGTTGGGTGGTGGGGGATGGGTGGTGGGGGATGGGTGGTGGGGGATGGGTGGTGGGGGATGGGTGGTGGGGGATGGGTGATGGGGGATGGGTGATGGGGATAGGCGGGGATAGGCGGGCAATTGGTGATGGGGGATTGCTCCACATGCTGCCTTGTCTTGGCTTCTGCCGCGTCCTCTGCACCCTCCTCCATACCCTCTCCCTCCCTCTCCCTGCCACTCTGACTGCTCTCTGCCGCTATTGCTGTGATTTGAGCAGCTTCGAACCTCACTTCGGGTTTGACATGCTGTGCAAATGTATCTGACTGTGCTTCGTTGTGCTTTGTGTGTTCTGCGTGTCCGGATTCCCTACCCTCGGCCTGGATGCATCGGACAGAGAAACGGAAGAGGAGGACGAGGAAGATGAGAAGGATGACGAAGACGATGACGTGGACGGTGAGGATGATGACGTGGACGGAGAGGAGGAGGAAGAATCGGGGGAGGAGGTAGAAAAGCCCAAGGCACGGACGAGCGAGCGAGGAGAAGGGGAGAATGCCAGAGGCGCCACTGGCACTGCTGATGCTGCTGCTGTGTCCAGTGGTCTGATCGCCGAAATGCTGCACCGTTTCGCACAGGAGGAGGCGGAGGAGGGCGAGGAGGATGATGATGAGCTTATCGTGCTTGAATGCTCCCCTCCTGCTGCTGCTGCTGCTGCTGTTGCAGCTGCGACAGCAGGAGGGGTGGGAATAGGCGGGGCAGCAGGAAGCTCAGCAGGAGGGGCAGCAGGAGCGGCAGCAGAAAAAGATGCACATGAGAAGGGAACAACGGGAAAGGGGGAGGATAAGGGAGCGGTGGAAGGCGCGTGTGCTGTGAAGCAAGGGGGCCAGGCAGGAAGGGAGGCGCAGATGAAGCGTGGAGAAGACGAGGCTAGGGACGACGACAAGATGAGGGCCACGTGGGAACAGGGTGGGGAGGGAGGGAAGCGAGAGAAGGGGGGAACGGAGGAGAATCGGGACAAGGGAGAGAAGGGCAGTGCAGCTGTTGGTGCAACCCTACGGTTTGCACTCGGCTTGTTGTCCGTGTGCGTGAATGTGTGTGTGTATGGAATGGTATGAGGGCATGAGATAATATATATTTCATGCTTATAATTGTGTGTGAATGTTGAGTCATGATGTCGAGTGTGTGTGTCGAGTCAATAGCGAGTTATCGCTAGACGCGTTTTACGCGGTCGTTTGTGTCTCGCGCGCGGTTTCTATTTTGTCGTGCGCGGTTTCTATTTTGTCCTGTGTCGAACGTTCGGCGTGTCGCAGGTGTGTGCAGCAGACCCATCAAGAACTCAAGGATGAGTTTGTGATGAAGAGCCCGAGCCTTGGTGTCAAGCCTCAAGTGATTTCGAAGCTCGCCAAAAAGGGTACACCTCAAGATATTGAAGATAGTTACATTACTTTGTGTAGTGTAACATTTCACTTGGTGTAGGCCCTAGTGAAGGGTAGTTTCGAGACCCTTCGTGATTGGGGACAGTGTGGCACTGTTCCACATCACTGTACCTCGGCCCTTGGGGTTTGTAGGAGCTGGGAGTCATTCCCAACTCGTAACTCTTCCTATCTTGTGTTCTAAGACTATAGTGGCTGCCATAGTACCGTTCGTTCAAACCGACGCTGTGTCGTCAATTCTTTATCAAATCGTGCAATCTAAATTGCTAATTGTAGACGACGTGAAGACGCTCCAGATCAAATTTGAATCAAGTCATTTGCAGCTGTGAGCAGAACGCTATCAACGTTTGAAGCCGCTGTGCAGAAATCCGTCTGTGCTCTCTATCTTTCGTTTTAGGCACATTCAAGCCTATTGTGACTATAACAAGTGGTATCAGAGCCCTTGGAGCAGTTTCGACAATGTCTGGACCTGAGGAAAGGGGTGGCAGAGGTGCTGGTGGCAGTGGAGAAGCTCAAGCTCAAGGCCAACCCCGTGATTCAGCCATGGCGCCCATGCAACCAAGTCTTGGCCCACCTAGGGATGAGCCTAGGGTGTTTGGGCTTGACAAGTTCAACGGTGACAACTTTGCTGAATGGTCCTTCAAGATGGAGAACATCTTTGACCACTATGACCTGCTGGAGGTGATGGAAGGAACGGAGAAGCGCCCCGAGAACGACCCGGAGAAGAGCCCGTGGGTGCGGAAGAGCGCACAAGGCTATCTCTTACTTGGGCAAGCGTTGGGGAGCAGTCAGATCCGTCACATCAAGCCATTCCAGCGTGAACCAGAGAAAGGACCAAAGGCATGGGCTGCTCTCAAGGGTGTACATGCTCCTGCAACAGCGGCGGTAGCGGTGGTGTTGGAACGGCAAATGGCGGCACTACGAATTGAAGAAGACGAAGCGGTTGAAGAAGGGGTGCAGAAATTATTCGACTTGTTGACGCGGCTTGAGGGAGCTGATCTGAACTACAGTGAGCTCCAAAAGAAGACCAAGTTGCTGGCCTTACTCCCAGAGTCATGGTCCTCGCTCATCATCAACCTTAATCGCGACTTGCCCCGCCTCTCGCTTGAAGACGTGAAGCGAGCTATCCTTCAAGAGGATTTCCGCCGCCGTGAGTTGGCGAGTGCGGATGGCGCTGGGGCAGCGAGCATCGGCCGTGGATATGGTCGAGGAAGAGGCAGAGGACGAGGGGGAGGAAGGTTTGGTGGCAGCAACTTCGGCGGAGGCCGCAGGAGTGGCGGTTACGGCAGCGACGACAAGAGCTACGGACGCGGTCGCGGCCGATTCGACGGCGAGTGTCACTATTGCCACAAGAGCGGACACATGTGGCGCGACTGCTACAAACTCCCTGATGGTTGGACCCCTGCTCAAGGCCAAGAGGGTAGAGGAGCAGGAGGAGGGAGAGGACGAGGCCGTGGAGGCCGTGGCGGTCGCGGTGGCGGAGCTGCAAACATGAAGAGCGGAGACAACGACAAGGACCCGAGCGACGATCGATACCCGGGTCTATTCTACTTCGTGTCGACGCAAGTACCGGCTGGTCCAGAGAAGGATGAAGGCTTTGAGGAGCCAGCAGCTGTGGAGAAGGTGACCCTACACCCCCTGGACTATTGGGTGATTGATAGTGGCGCTACCTATAGCATGACACCTCGCCCGGACTTGCTCACCGAACTCGAGCCGTCACCGGTGAAGCATGTCACATCGGCTTTGGGGCAGCGAGCAGAGGTGAAAGGCATGGGCAAGGCCATGTTCAAGGGTGCTGATGGGAAGATGGTGGGCCTCAAGAACGTGCTTTGGGTGCCCAGCCTTGCTGCAAACCTGATTTCCGTGCGGCGGTTGGCAAAGGCCGGCATGGACACGAACTCGAAGGGAGCCAAGACCTACACCGCAAGGCTTGGCGATCGAATTCTTTGGGACCTTCATGAGGACAGGGATGTCTACAACGAGATGTGGCAGATCCCAGTGGTCCCTATGCCTAAGGAGAGGCAAGTGGCAGCAAGCATCAGCACCAAGGATGGAGCGGTCGGTAGCGACGATGGCGCGAACGGTCGCGCTAAGGAGAATGAGCTCAAGAAGAGCAAACCTGGAGGGACCAGCAAGTTCAGTGAACCTAAGGAGAGTGGTGCAGCAACCAAGGAGCAGCAAAAGGGTGAGGAGAACCCAGAGGCAGCAGCGGAGGAGGACTACGGAGAGAGTATGTGGGGCGCTATTGCGAGCGCGGCATTCTCCAATCCAACTTCGGCTACGGGGGAGTGTGATTGGCTCACCTTGCATCGGCGCATGGGGCATGTGGCCCTGCCCATCTTGCAGCAGCTAGTGAAGAATGAGATGGTTGCTGGCATACGTGTGAAGGGGGAGCCCGATGAGGTGCTTGGCTGCCCGACGTGCATTCAAGCCAAGTTCACCCGGTTTCCGTTCCCTAGTTCGGAGGCAACGGCAAAGGCACCGCTTGATGAGGTGGTGATGGACGTGGTGGGCCCCCTGAAGCTTGGAGCTGCTGGAGCTGAGTATTTTCTCACCATTGTCGACGTCTACACCCGCATGACTTGGGTGTACGTGCTGGCCAAGAAGAGCGACGTGGCTGAAACGTTGAAGACGGATTGGTTCCCGATGGTGGAGCGGCAACAAGACCGTCTAGTCAAGTCAATCCGCACCGATCGAGGGGGAGAGTTCCTGAGCAAGGAGTTTGGGTTGTGGCTGAAGAAGAATGGTATTCGGCACTCCCTCACCATGCCATACTCCCCTGCAATGAACGGCATCGCCGAGCGAGCGAACCGCACAATCACGGAGGCGGCACGCGGGTTGCTCATTGGCCTGATGCGGTGCGGAGCGCGTGTGTGGCCAAGAACAGAGCCTTGACTCATGTGGGAGCAGACAAATGGGTGCCCTATGTGGAGTGGCTAGGAAGGAAGCCAAAGGTGGATATGCTTCGGGTGTTCGGGTGCATGTGCATGGCGCTCGTGCCTAAGCATCTTTGGCACAACAAGCTTGGTGCCAAGGCGGTGTGGGCCGTGCACTTGGGCATGGCTCAAAACATCAAGGGATGGCTTCTTTGGGACCCATTCACCAAGAAGTTCTTGGTGAGCAGGGACTGCAAGTTCATGGAGAACTTCATGTACAAGGATTGGAAGGCGGAGAATGAGGCGAAGATAGGCGTGCGGTTTGGGGAGGTGAAGAGTTCCGGTTTGGAGCATGTGGAGCTGCCTTTGGAGCTGAGCAGCGGCAGCACAACCACAAGGCAATCCTCCCTTGTGAATGGGGGAGAGGAGGCCAATGATGCAGAGGAAGAAGAGGAGGAGGTGCAGCAAGTGAGCGAGCGTGCACCGTCACTCCCTTCCCGTACTACGAGTGCTCCACGGATTCGAGCCACACCGCAGCAACGCCAAGGCCTTCAAGTCCCTGCAGCTGAGGAGGAAGGAAGGGGGAAGAGGAGAGTTCAACCCCCTAATAGGCTGACCTATGATGCGCCGGGAAAGCAGGGCAAGACAGCCCTGGCCGGAGCGGCAATGATGGTCGGAGACGACGAGGAGAGTGACTACGAGGAGTGTGCCTTCGCGTTCTTCTCTCCGGTGGAGATGCCGGGAGAACCAGCAACTCTCAAGGAGGCTTTGGAGAGTAGTGATGCTGAGGAGTGGAAGAAGGCCATGGAGAGTGAGCTGAAGAGCATCGAGGAGAATGACACGTTTGAATTGGTGGAGCTACCGGAGGGGCGTACGGCGATAACGTCCAAGTGGCTCTTCAAAATCAAGTCGGATGCCGACGGCAAGATCGAGCGCTACAAGTCTAGGCTTGTAGCCAAGGGGTACCAGCAGAAGGAGAAGGTGGACTTCAAGGAGCTGTTTGCCCCTGTGGTGAAGCCGACGACGCTGCGAACCCTATTCGCGGGAGCCGCCATCAAAGGATGGGTAGTAAAGCAAATGGACATCGTAACGGCATTCCTTAACGGCATCCTTGAGGAGGAGATTTTTATGGCGCAGCCAGAGGGGTTTGATGATGGTAGTGGCAGAGTGTGGAAGCTGAAGAAGGCCCTCTATGGGCTGAAGCAGGCCCCTAGGCAATGGTACATGAAGCTGCGCGAAGTGTTGGAGGGGATCGGCTTCACTCCCTCAACGGCCGATCACTCCTTGTTCATGCTTGGCGAGGGGGAGCAGAGGAGTTTCATGGTGGTTTATGTGGATGACATCCTCATTTTCTGACCCTCTTCTGACCTTGTGAAGGAGGTGATGCTGAAGCTTCAAGACAAGTTCAAGTGCAAGGCCCTTGGTGACGTGAGCTTCTACCTTGGGCTCCACATCGAACGAGATGTGGAGAAGCGGTGCATGCGGGTGCATCAACGAAAGTACCTGGAGGCATTGGCTGCCAACTTTGGGCAGAGTGAAGGCCATGTGGCTACACCCTTTCCCTCTGGGTTCAAGTGTGTGAAGGGACCAGAGGAGGAGAGCGTTGGTGAAGAGGAGAGGCGCCGATTTCACTCGTTGGTGGGCAGCCTCATGTATGCGGCGGTAAACACCCGACCGGACGTCGCGTTTGCTACCGGGCAGCTGGCTAGGGTTGTGCAATGCCCTAATGAGGAGCAGGTAGCAGCTGGAATGAGGGTGGCCAAGTATCTTGGTCAAACACCGACCGTTGGGCTGCAATACTCGGCGGCGGCACAAAGGCGCCAAAAGGGCGCGGATGGTGTTGAACCCGGGCGTTTGTTCCTCACCGCCTACTCGGATGCTTCATATGCATCAGAACCAGAGGACATGACAAGTGTGGGAGGCTTCATATGCTGTGTTGGTGGAGGCCCAACTGCTTGGGAGAGCAAGAAGCAGGTTGACCAAGCTTTGAGCTCGGTGGAGTCCGAGTACATGGCACTCTTCCGTGCCGTACGGGAGATTGTGTGGCAGCGGCGTTTGTTGGCTGAATTGGGGGAGGAGCAGCAAGGACCTACCCCACTGTACTGTGACAGCCAGGGTGCCATTGCTCTTGCTAAGAACCCTGTGTTGCATGGACTCACGAAGCACATGAGGGTGAAGTGGCATTGGACGAGGAGCATGGTAACCGCGGGTGAAGTTGAGTTGCGCTACGTGAAGACCACGGGGCAGCCGGCTGACATGATGACCAAGAGGCTGGTGGAGCAGCAGCATTGGAAGTGTTGCAAGCTGGCTGGGATGGCTCTGAACTGAGAGAGCAACATATCCTAAGGCCAACAATCCGAGGGGGAGTTTGTTGGTGCAACCCTACGGTTTGCACTCGGCTTGTTGTCCGTGTGCGTGAATGTGTGTGTGTATGGAATGGTATGAGGGCATGTGATAATATATATTTCATGCTTATAATTGTGTGTGAATGTTGAGTCATGATGTCGAGTGTGTGTGTCGAGTCAATAGCGAGTTATCGCTAGACGCGTGTTACGCGGTCGTTTGTGTCTCGCGCGCGGTTTCTATTTTGTCGTGCGCGGTTTCTATTTTGTCCTGTGTCGAACGTTCGGCGTGTCGCAGGTGTGTGCAGCAGACCCATCAAGAACTCAAGGATGAGTTTGTGATGAAGAGCCCGAGCCTTGGTGTCAAGCCTCAAGTGATTTCGAAGCTCGCCAAAAGGGTGCACCTCAAGATATTGAAGATAGTTACATTACTTTGTGTAGTGTAACATTTCACTTGGTGTAGGCCCTAGTGAAGGGTAGTTTCGAGACCCTTTGTGGTTGGGGACAGTGTGGCACTGTTCCACATCACTGTACCTCGGCTCTTGGGGTTTGTAGGAGCTGGGAGTCATTCCCAACTCGTAACTCTTCCTATCTTGTGTTCAAAGACTATAGTGGCTGCCATACTACCGTTCGTTCAAACCGACGCTGTGTCGTCAATTCTTTATCAAATCGTGCAATCTAAATTGCTAATTGTAGACGACGTGAAGACGCTCCAGATCCAATTTGAATCAAGTCATTTGCAGCTGTGAGCAGAACGCTATCAACGTTTGAAGCCGCTGTGCAGAAATCCGTCTGTGCTCTCTATCTTTCGTTTTAGGCACATTCAAGCCTATTGTGACTATAACAGCAGCGAAGTGCCTAGGGAAGGGATGTGGCACAGGCGAGGGCAGTGGCAGGGACGGGCCTGGGAGGAGCAGGGAGCGAGAGAAGGTGTGTGGGCGAGCGCATGTGGGGAGTGCAGGGACGGCATTGGACTCTAGCGCTGGTGCTGCTAAGAGGGAGGCAGCTGCTGGAGTGTCCAGTGGGAGAGGGGCGGAAGAGGGAGAGAATACAGGGGTGGCAGGGCGAGGGGATGAAGGGGAGGAAGAGGCAGGCAAGGCAGGGGCGGTGACAGCAGGGCAGAAACCAGATGGGGGCGGTGATGGGGGGAAACTGGGAGGTGCAGAGGGGGAGAAGCAGCGGTCGGCTGATGGGGAAAAGCAGGGGGACGCAGAGGGGGGGAAACAGGGGGGTGCAGCGGGGGGAAAGCAGGGGGGCGCAGCGGGGGGAAAGCAGGGGGGCGCAGCGGGGGGAAAGCAGGGGGGCGCAGTGAGGTGGTGGGTGGGGGCGCGCAAGGCAACAGGAGTGGGGCCCAAGTCGCTCAGTCAGTGGGCGAAGGGGCGTGGGGGAGGGGCGGATACGCAGGGGGGGAAGGTGGGAAGTGGAGGAGGGGGCGGAGGTGGTGGTGCTGCTGCTGGCGCTGGTGTTAATAATGCTGCTTCTGCTGATGGAGTCGGTGCTGGTGCTGGTGCTGGTTCTGATGCTGCTGCTGATGCCGGTGGTGCTGCTGCTACTACTTCTGCTGCTGCTTCTGCTGACGATGTTACTGCTGGTGCTGCTGCTGCTTCTGGTGCTGCTGTTTCTGCTCGTGGTGCTAGTGCTGGTGCTGCTGGTGCTAGTGGTGGTGCTGGTGGTGCTGGTGCTGCTGCTGGAGACATTGGTAATCAGAGGGGGGATACAGCCAAGGGATCGTGTGGGCTGAGAGAAGCTGGGCGGAGATTCATTGATGATGCTGCTATTGAAGATGGGGGGGAGGAGGAGGACGAGGAGGGGGAGGAGAGAGGGGGAGGAGAGGATGCGGAGGAGGAGGTTAGGGGGAAAGATTTGAGGGAGAAAGAGCGAGATGCGAATTGGGACCGGATGGATATAGAGGATCTAGGAGAGGATGATGGTGAGGGCGAAAGTGAGGGTAACGGAGATGCTTGTAACGAGGACGAGGGAGAGGGGGGGATTAACAAGGGGGTGGGAGGTGAGGAAGAAGGGGAAGAGGAGGAAGAGGAGGAAGAGGGGGAAGAGGGAGACGAGGTTGAAGAGGGGGAGGAAGAGGAGGAGGAGGAAGGGTCAGATGGTGCGTTGGAGAGAGCAGCGCTGCATAGGCAGTGGGAGGAGGAGGAGGATGAGCGGGTTCAGGGGGCAGTGATGGGCGGAGTGCAGGGGGGCTGGGCGCATGTGCGCATGGGCAGGCGGAACCAGGGCGGGGGGGTGAGGGGGAGCATGGGAGTGGGTCTGATGGGGGATGGGGAGGAGGAAGAAGAGGGAGAGGAGGAGGTGGAGGAGGAAACGGGGGAGAATGGAGGGTTGAAGAAAGAGGGAGTGAGGAAGCGAAAGAGTGGAGAGAGTGGGAAGGGAGAGGGAGGGAAAGCGAAAGGGGCAGGTGGTGAGGAGTGGGGGTTACTGGCAAAGAAAGTGAGGATGTTAAAGGAGAGGGCGGGGGAAGGAGGGACGAAGCAGGGTGGAGAGAGGAAGGGAATGGAGCAGGGTGGCAATGCGTGTGGCTTAACTGAGGGTGCTCGCGGTGATGCTGATGCTGATGCTGTTGGTGCGGGGAGGACAAACAGAGGCGAGGGAGAGGAGATGGACGATGACACTGCGAGTGACGATGCTGAGAATGGCAGCAGCAGCGACATTGATGATAGCAACGGTTTTGGCAGTGGTGACGGTGGTGATGAGGGCGATAAGAGCGATGAGGATGATGATGGCAAGATGGCATCGCAAGACCTGGCAGAGCACATGCGAGCCAAGAGACGCGTAGAGGAGATGGTGAGTGGGGGAAAGGCAGTGAGTGTGTCGGTGATGGGTGGGAAAGCTGGTGAGTGGGGGAAAGGAGGTGAGTTGGGGGGAGGTTGGGTGAGGAGTGACAGTGATAGAAGAGCAACGGAGAGGAGGTGATTGTTTGACAGCAGCACTCCCAGTCTTCTCACACCCGTCCTCTCCCTTTCTCATGTGTAATTAGTTTTTTTTCGAGACAACTCAAAAGCAATCTTATTACACGCAGTCCTCTCACACCCATCCTCTTCCTTGCTCTCCTCTCTTCCCCCACCTTCCCCCCACCCTGGCAGCACCACAAGGAGGTGCGGGACATGGCCCTTAGCAGTTGGAGGCAGCAGGCAGAAGGCCGGAGACACACTATTGTTGCAGTGCTAGCAACGCCACCAGGCCTCCCTCTCCTCAATTATCCTCTCTCCTAACCTTTCTCTCCACCCCCCCTTTCCAAGGACACAGTGCTGGGCAGTGGCCGCACTCCCAGCCATGTCACTTCCCCTCTCTCCTCTCTAGCTTCTTCCCATCTCTCCCTTCCTCCCTCCTCATTTCCCCCTCCCCTCCCCCCTACCCCCTATGGCAGCATCACAGGGAGGTGCGAGACACAGTGTTGGGACAGTGGAAACAGCAGCAAAAAGACTGAATAAATGATTTCCCCTCCCTCCCCTCGCTTTGTTATAGTCACAATAGGCTTGAATGTGCCTAAAACGAAAGATAGAGAGCACAGACGGATTTCTGCACAGCGGCTTCAAACGTTGATAGCGTTCTGCTCACAGCTGCAAATGACTTGATTCAAATTGGATCTGGAGCGTCTTCACGTCGTCTACAATAAGCAATTTAGATTGCACGATTTAATAAAGAATTGACGACACAGCGTCGGTTTGAACGAACGGTACTATGGCAGCCACTATAGTCTTAGAACACAAGATAGGAAGAGTTACGAGTTGGGAATGACTCCCAGCTCCTACAAACCCCAAGAGCCGAGGTACAGTGATGTGGAACAGTGCCACACTGTCCCCAACCACGAAGGGTCTCGAAACTACCCTCCACAAGGGCCTACACCAAGAGAAATGTTACACTACACAAAGTAATGCAACTATTCTCACTATCTTACAGTTTACCCTTTTGGAGAGCTTCGAAATCACTTGATTCTTGAAACCAAGGCTCGGGCTCTTCATCACAAACTCATCCTTGAGTTCTTGATGGGTCTGCTGCACACACCTGCGACACGCCGAACGTTCGACACAGGACAAAATAGAAACCGCGCACGACAAAATAGAAACCGCGCGCGAGACACAAACGACCGCGTAACACGCGTCTAGCGATAACTCGCTATTGACTCGACACACACACTCGACATCATGACTCAACATTCACACACAATTATAAGCATGAAATATATATTATCCCATGCCCTCATACCATTCCATACACACACACATTCACGCACACGGACAACAAGCCGAGTGCAAACCGTAGGGTTGCACCAACAAACTCCCCCTCGGATTGTTGGCCTTAGGATATGTTGCTCTCTCAGTTCAGAGCCATCCCAGCCAGCTTGCAACACTTCCAATGCTGCTGCTCCACCAGCCTCTTGGTCATCATGTCAGCCGGCTGCCCCGTGGTCTTCACGTAGCGCAACTCAACTTCACCCGCGGTTACCATGCTCCTCGTCCAATGCCACTTCACCCTCATGTGCTTCGTGAGTCCATGCAACACAGGGTTCTTAGCAAGAGCAATGGCACCCTGGCTGTCACAGTACAGTGGGGTAGGTCCTTGCTGCTCCTCCCCCAATTCAGCCAACAAACGCCGCTGCCACACAATCTCCCGTACGGCACGGAAGAGTGCCATGTACTCGGACTCCACCGAGCTCAAAGCTTGGTCAACCTGCTTCTTGCTCTCCCAAGCAGTTGGGCCTCCACCAACACAGCATATGAAGCCTCCCACACTTGTCATGTCCTCTGGTTCTGATGCATATGAAGCATCCGAGTAGGCGGTGAGGAACAAACGCCCGGGTTCAACACCATCCGCGCCCTTTTGGCGCCTTTGTGCCGCCGCCGAGTATTGCAGCCCAACGGTCGGTGTTTGGCCAAGATACTTGGCCACCCTCATTCCAGCTGCTACCTGCTCCTCATTAGGGCATTGCACAACCCTAGCCAGCTGCCCGGTAGCAAACGCGACGTCCGGTCGGGTGTTTACCGCCGCATACATGAGGCTGCCCACCAACGAGTGAAATCGGCGCCTCTCCTCTTCACCAACGCTCTCCTCCTCTGGTCCCTTCACACACTTGAACCCAGAGGGAAAGGGTGTAGCCACATGGCCTTCACTCTGCCCAAAGTTGGCAGCCAATGCCTCCAGGTACTTTCGTTGATGCACCCGCATGCACCGCTTCTCCACATCTCGTTCGATGTGGAGCCCAAGGTAGAAGCTCACGTCACCAAGGGCCTTGCACTTGAACTTGTCTTGAAGCTTCAGCATCACCTCCTTCACAAGGTCAGAAGAGGGTGAGAAAATGAGGATGTCATCCACATAAACCACCATGAAACTCCTCTGCTCCCCCTCGCCAAGCATGAACAAGGAGTGATCGGCCGTTGAGGGAGTGAAGCCGATCCCCTCCAACACTTCGCGCAGCTTCATGTACCATTGCCTAGGGGCCTGCTTCAGCCCATAGAGGGCCTTCTTCAGCTTCCACACTCTGCCACTACCATCATCAAACCCCTCTGGCTGCGCCATAAAAATCTCCTCCTCAAGGATGCCGTTAAGGAATGCCGTTACGATGTCCATTTGCTTTACTACCCATCCTTTGATGGCGGCTCCCGCGAATAGGGTTCGCAGCGTCGTCGGCTTCACCACAGGGGCAAACAGCTCCTTGAAGTCCACCTTCTCCTTCTGCTGGTACCCCTTGGCTACAAGCCTAGACTTGTAGCGCTCGATCTTGCCGTCGGCATCCGACTTGATTTTGAAGAGCCACTTGGACGTTATCGCCGTACGCCCCTCCGGTAGCTCCACCAATTCAAACGTGTCATTCTCCTCGATGCTCTTCAGCTCACTCTCCATGGCCTTCTTCCACTCCTCAGCATCACTACTCTCCAAAGCCTCCTTGAGAGTTGCTGGTTCTCCCGGCATCTCCACCGGAGAGAAGAACGCGAAGGCACACTCCTCGTAGTCACTCTCCTCGTCGTCTCCGACCATCATTGCCGCTCCGGCCAGGGCTGTCTTGCCCTACTTTCCCGGCGCATCATAGATCAGCCTATTAGGGGGTTGAACTCTCCTCTTCCCCCTTCCTTCCTCCTCAGCTGCAGGGACTTGAAGGCCTTGGCGTTGCTGCGGTGTGGCTCGAATCCGTGGAGCACTCGTAGTACGGGAAGGGAGTGACGGTGCACGCTCGCTCACTTGCTGCACCTCCTCCTCTTCTTCCTCTGCATCATTGGCCTCCTCTCCCCCATTCACAAGGGAGGATTGCCTTGTGGTTGTGCTGCCGCTGCTCAGCTCCAAAGGCAGCTCCACATGCTCCAAACCGGAACTCTTCACCTCCCCAAACCGCACGCCTATCTTCGCCTCATTCTCCGCCTTCCAATCCTTGTACATGAAGTTCTCCATGAACTTGCAGTCCCTGCTCACCAAGAACTTCTTGGTGAATGGGTCCCAAAGAAGCCATCCCTTGCTGTTTTGAGCCATGCCCAAGTGCACGGCCCACACCGCCTTGGCACCAAGCTTGTTGTGCCGAAGATGCTTAGGCACGAGCGCCATGCACATGCACCCGAACACCCGAAGCATATCCACCTTTGGCTTCCTTCCTAGCCACTCCACATAGGGCACCCATTTGTCTGCTCCCACATGAGTCAAGGCTCTGTTCTTGGCCACACACGCGCTCCGCACCGCATCAGGCCAGAAATAGTCGGGTAGCCCGGCTTCAATGAGCAACCCGCGTGCCGCCTCCGTGATTGTGCGGTTCGCTCGCTCGGCGATGCCGTTCATTGCAGGGGAGTATGGCATGGTGAGGGAGTGCCGAATACCATTCTTCTTCAGCCACAACCCAAACTCCTTGCTCAGGAACTCTCCCCCTCGATCGGTGCGGATTGACTTGACTAGACGGTCTTGTTGCCGCTCCACCATCGGGAACCAATCCGTCTTCAACGTTTCAGCCACGTCGCTCTTCTTGGCCAGCACGTACACCCAAGTCATGCGGGTGTAGACGTCGACAATGGTGAGAAAATACTCAGCTCCAGCAGCTCCAAGCTTCAGGGGGCCCACCACGTCCATCACCACCTCATCAAGCGGTGCCTTTGCCGTTGCCTCCGAACTAGGGAACGGAAACCGGGTGAACTTGGCTTGAATGCACGTCGGGCAGCCAAGCACCTCATCGGGCTCCCCCTTCACACGTATGCCAGCAACCATCTCATTCTTCACTAGCTGCTGCAAGATGGGCAGGGCCACATGCCCCATGCGCCGATGCAAGGTGAGCCAATCACACTCCCCCGTAGCCGAAGTTGGATTGGAGAATGCCGCGCTCGCAATAGCGCCCCACATACTCTCTCCGTAGTCCTCCTCCGCTGCTGCCTCTGGGTTCTCCTCACCCTTTTGCTGCTCCTTGGTTGCTGCACCACTCTCCTTAGGTTCACTGAACTTGCTGGTCCCTCCAGGTTTGCTCTTCTTGAGCTCATTCTCCTTAGCGCGACCGTTCGCGCCATCGTCGCTACCGACCGCTCCATCCTTGGTGCTGATGCTTGCTGCCACTTGCCTCTCCTTAGGCATAGGGACCACTGGGATCTGCCACATCTCGTTGTAGACATCCCTGTCCTCATGAAGGTCCCAAAGAATTCGATCGCCAAGCCTTGCGGTGTAGGTCTTGGCTCCCTTCGAGTTCGTGTCCATGCCGGCCTTTGCCAACCGCCGCACGGAAATCAGGTTTGCAGCAAGGCTGGGCACCCAAAGCACGTTCTTGAGGCCCACCATCTTCCCATCAGCACCCTTGAACATGGCCTTGCCCATGCCTTTCACCTCTGCTCGCTGCCCTAAAGCCGATGTGACATGCTTCACCGGTGACGGCTCGAGTTCGGTGAGCAAGTCCGGGCGAGGTGTCATGCTATAGGTAGCGCCACTATCAATCACCCAATAGTCCAGGGGGT